CTGCTGAAGCAGTCATCTAGAGCACATTGCACAGGATTGCGTCCAGGCAGGTTTTGAATATCTCCAGAGAAGGAGGACTAGACAGAAAGAGCTGGTTGCCTGATATGTAAAATGGCTACTATTAATTGTAAGCTTTTTATTTCCAACGCAAAATTATACTAAAAATGTACTTCCTGGAAATTACACATGTGGTTACTGGAGATGAAATGTGGTGAAATGGAAACTGGGACTATGCACCAAGCTAAAGATTTGCTGTACTGTAATGTCATCCTTGTTTTATTTTCTCATTTCAGAGCTTTATCAAAAGTCCAGAAACCTTATATTTTTCCTATTCTTTGGCTAAATGAGGTTAGTATACTTTATGTCTACTAATCTTCATTGTTAATATGGAGAATCCTGGGGGAAAAAAAAAAAAGATTAATCTAACCTTTCGGTCTTGGTACCCTGAAACTGGGCAATTAAACTCATGCTATAATATGTACACAGGAGTTAGGGCTTGCATACTTACCTTTCACTGATGGTTTTCTTGCACTATTTCAGTCTGCTGTTATTGGGGATGCAAAAGCAGAAATGTTCAGAAATAAAGTCACCAATCGGGTCCAGATGTTGAGTGTGCTGCAGATGGTGTTAATCATCGCAGGTTCTGTGCTGTTCCTCGCATTCATGGTTTCCTATTTCATATGCAGAACAAAGAAATTAAAATAAGTAAGTAAGTGGTAATGGTAATTGTTTCAGTCCTCAGCAGTAACTCTTCCTCAGTTTTTCAAGAAGTTAAACATTATATATTTAGTTACTCTTGTTTTTCAAGTGCTAGTAAAGTTCAGCAGTTGCCATTTCAGTTCTCGTGCTGCAAATGATCTAGATATCCTAGATAATGTTTTCAAATTCAGCTCCCAACCTTAATCTTTCAGGATGCTCTTAACATACCCGGAATAGGCTGTTGGGAATTTCCAAAAAGGCAATGTGATCTTTGTGACTTGATGAAAATAGACATTTTACCCAAGACAGCTAAACTGTTCAGGAGCGTCCTGTAATGCTTCTGCAGGATAGAGGCCACACAGCTTCAGACTTCTATGCTCTTCCAAGATGTATCCCTGGCTGGGGTTCAGAAAGCCCACTGTAAAAGCAGTTTTTAGTAAGTGGGCTCAGTAAGGTTTCTCAGATATTCTTTCTCTCAGTCTTGTGCCACTATCACATTAGACTTACCACGTCCTAGACTTACCTAGCCCATTAAGACTGAATATAGTTCTACAGTGAGTAGAATAACCAAGCAGTGGCTTAGCGTGCCTACACCCATTGAAAGAAGCAAGTCTTTAGAAGCGATTTAAAATAAGTGCAAAGCCATGAATATGAAGACAAAAAGATTATAGCACAGTAAAGAGCCCTTTTTAAGAATACTACTTACCTCATTAAGAAAAACACTTATTTCCTAACTTACTAAATTCTGGGGTTTTTTTTCCCATTATAGTTAAAAGAAGACTTCAAAGGTAAGCAATCTTTACCTGAAATTTCAGCCAAGCAGCATGTTAAAATTCGGAGACAAAAGATATGATCCAAGGCACGCTCAGTCCAACATGCTTTTCCATTCTGAGAAGACCAACTCACTAATCCGGATAAGCTGATGTTTCCAAAGGCCTACGTGTCTGATGTCACTAAAGAGGCCACCATGGAAATGATACTTTCAAATAACTTTTATTATATGAACCTTGTTACAAATATTAAGTGACATTCAAGCAGACTGAAGCTGAGATGCAGTTTGGAATTTAGTCCACTTTCTGCCATTTATGCAACTTGCTACTTTTTTTCTTCTGGGATTTACAAGATAAATGAAAGCTGTTTGCTGGTGTTCTGCCTCTGAGCATAGGCAGGGGAATGACAACATCATTGAGCTCACGCCATGCTCTACACGCTCTAATTGCAATGTTTTCCTTCTGTTCCTTCAAGGAATGGAAGCTGCTGCAATAGAACTGCTCTCTGTCCTCTATTCAGGGATGTGAATTGTGTTGAATGTGAAGTTTATTATGTAAAGCTACTAACTGTAACACATGATGTTAATAAAAGACTTACTGAAATATTTGTTTTATACATTTATGCAGAGCTGGCCCATGCACACATGCAATCATTCGTAGGTTAACAGGGACTTACCAACATTTGGCTCCACGGCTCAGTAATCTGAGCTACTCTCTAACTCCCAACCTGCTCCACTGCTTCCTGCATGCTTCTGTTTCTGACTCTTGCTTCACCACCAGCCTCTGCTCTGCCCTAACCCCACTTTGCCCAAGGCCTTCTTTAGGCAATGATTTGATATGTCACCCTTCAGGTCAAGAGAAAATATCCCAGAATTCTAGACATAGGAAAGACTGAGACAACGATTCTGATCAAAAATCATTCCATTCCACTCCCTGGCTATAGAAGAAATAAAGGAAGACAGGTAGCCCCAGCTCTTCACTGATAGCTCTCTGCTGCAAGGAAATATGTGCAGCCCTCTTCAACAAGGTGCATTAGCCTCCAGGCAGGCAGGTAGCAAGCACTGCCATTTGTGCAAGTGGTTTACTTTTTCAATGAATTTGTTTGTCATATCTTAGGAATAAGAGTCAGTTGGACACTTTTTGAGAATTGTGGGGTGTTTCCTTTTCCCATGGACTCACTGAAATCAGAACAAGACCACTTTGTAAGATTTATTCTGGAAACTTTTTGTTCTGTAAAATAAGAGCTGCAAAGGAAAAGGAAAATCAAACGCAGGCCCGCTTCTCATAGCCTGGCATCTGGAAATACTGCTAAAACGGACTTCAGCACTGAAAGGTTTGTCTTGCTAGCAAAGGACAGTATCTTTAGCCCGGTATCCTTAACATGGTGTTTTCCTTCTTTGGAAATAAAGGGAAAGAAATCCAAGATACTAAAATGTTGTTGTTTTAATCCCGTGCTCCTTGTGGACAGAGCTGTGTAGCTACCTATAATGGCACTTTGGAGCTGATATATCACAGAAAACCCAAGAGACTTTTCTTGAAGGCAAGGTCTGATTCATGGTTACATTGTTTTTCCAGCCATGAGCTGGAAAGACAAAGCAAGAGGGCAGGAGACGTGAAGGAAGCACTACAGTGAAGGCAAACTACGCTCTCACGTAGACAGCTAATGTATTTGAATACTCATGGTGCTAGTAAGTGAAACAAAAAGTGCCCTTGCTTTCTTCTCTACATCATTGCTGGTGTCATATGTAATACTCTGTTCCTTCAGAAGCCTGGGGACAGTCTGACACAATTTAAGGCATCCCTAGAGGCCTAGGTACTGGTCAAGAAAGTATGATGACAACTACAAAGGTTTTGCTTGAAGTCGTTACCTCCTCTTAAGCTGAAATAAGCACAGCTTTGCTGTGGTTCAAGATTTGAAAACTAGTCTTTCATGTGAGAGTTTAGTGGTGGGGTCTTTTCTTCCAAGGAATAACAGCAAAGCTCCCGTTAATTTTAATATGCTAGCATTTCAGCTTCATTTTTTTGACTTGAAGTCCATTGTCAGCAAATCAGTGTTTGCTCTATTATTGTTGCTTAGTGCTATTTAGTGATTCAGCAGCAGTGATCCAGCAAGTCAGGCCATGATTTTAGATGTCTCAGGGCCCACTTTTCCATGCACACAAATAAGTTTGTCCATATATATAATCTCATTGTTCTCATTGCAGGTTTGGACTCTTAAACTATGTTCAGCACCGAGACTGCACTTGAATTATAATTAGTATTTCTATTTTTGTCCAGAAGATTGGTTACAGTTATTTTCTTGATTCATGTCATTAAGGCTAATGTTAATTATTTATATTCGTTAAACCACATGTGGGATAAACACTTATTAGAAATTTTAATTAACTTAATAAAAAGAAAACAAAGCTCAAAATCTTTTTTCTGAGATCCTCATGTTCAGCTGTAAATAAACTCTTCTGTGTTGGATACTGAACTTGTATTTATATCTGTGGTGTTTTGGGTGTGTTTTCTTTTCCTAGAGTTTGATTCTATAAAAAATAAATGAGCTTATGAATAAGTTTATTATATCGATGTACTCCCTGCCCTCACAGTTGCTTAGAAGTGCATTTCACTTTTCATGTTCTCCCCTGATGTATCATAAATACTGGTGACATGCAGCATTTATATGCTGGATTACAGTGAGGAGCAGACTGTGCCTTTGGGGGCAGAGCTGAGCACCAGTATGCCTAAACTGAAGCAATTCTGGAGCCATCTCAGGATACCAAGCTCCGAGGGAGACCTTTTTTCAGCTGCCTTGAAGGTGTGCTGGTGTGAGCACATCCAGCAACGTATTACAACATCTTGGCCTGGCAGATTGGGATGGGAGGGGAGCCTTGGCTACTTTGGTGCCTCACGTTCTCCAACCGCCCCAGTTCCTTATGGATGAAAACCACTGGGTGAAGTCAGATCTGACCCAAGATCTGACAGCCTACGTACTCCTACACCCTACAGCAGGTGGGCCAGCCCAGGCTCGATGAAGCCCTTGATGTTTAACTGTAATTACTCTTTCAAAGCCTTTCTTAAAACCTGTTCTTCTCACCAAGCCTACCAGTGTCTGCTCAGGTAAGGTAAATATGCTACTACACCCTGAAAAAGAAAATTGATGTTTTGTCTGTCCTCTTAAATGGGAGACTAGGCAGGGACTTGTTTTATTCATTGAGGTATGCACTGTCAGTATTTAATAACTAATACATTTAATAACTAAAAAACCTCGATTAGGGCTTTGCTTCAGTAACCAGAAACAACAAGCAGATGACTCACGTTTACCAATTGCAAACTGCACTTATGGATAGATGCCATACATTTTCTACTGTCTGTCCCCTTATCTTTGCGTACAGATGTCCCTGACACTCTGTGGCCCTGGGCCCTGTCCTCTCCCAGCCAAGCCCACAGCAAGCCACCGAGGCAGCACCAGGCTGCAACCTTCCTCAGCTCTCCTTTGTAAGAAAAAAACCAAATGCTTTGCAGTAGGCGCCACCTAAAGGGCATACATTTTTTCACAAATTCTCATGCTTCACTTAAGTGCAGCTAGTCAAAAATAATGCTGGATAAAACTCATCATTCCTTCTGCTGCCAGTTGACACAATCCAACATAATTATGACAGCTTAAAATCAGCGTGAGAAAAATCATGTCCTAAGTGTCTGCTCAATGCCAGATTGTCAGATTTCTGCTAAGGAAGAAAAGGTTCCTCTGAGTACTACGACGTGGTATTACCGGCCCTGAGTTTTCAGGACTCCCTTTCTTGCCCGGCAAGTGCTTATGCAACGCTGAGGATGTGTGGGCAAATCAGGTCTTACACAGACGTGTATGTTTTTATATGTGACTCAGGTTTTAGATGCACCTAAAACCCATTTGCAACTTCAGCTGTACTGGATTATTTGTGGGTAGGACTGGCAAAGTCACATTTTCTGCCTTTATTTTTCTTCAGTAATTTTTCCAAATGGAAAGTCTACATATTTTTCCCCCAGATATTTCCAAAGGTAAATTTCTCCAATGGTATTTTATTTCATGGCACCATCTAAAACATGATTGCATCTTGAACTAGCAGCTGAAGGTATAAACCTGCAAGAATTGCTTGGATTCTGGATACTTCCATGTAAATCCAGAAATTTTCTGTGAACTGACAACAAATGTGGCAGCATATCTTTCTCCGTGTGTTCACTCTGGAGACATAGCTGTTTGTCTATGCACTGTTCAAACATTGACTCTGCTTTGCAAAATTAGAAGTTATCACTAAAATTAATGCACACACACGCTCTCTCTGACCATAATGTGGCGGCAGGTACATTTTATTCTGCAGTCTTGATAATCTCAGCCTAGTTGTCTTCACCAGGATAAATTAAAATAACACTGTTAACATTCATGGCTTCACACTGTCAGCGAGCATAAAAGGGAAATCAGAAGCCTCTTTTTTTTTTTTTTTGTTTTTCCTATTACTGTTGTGAAAAACACTAAGAAAGAGCTTTTGGTAAAGCATACACTTTAGTTCAGTGACAAGTCAGTGCATTTAGGAGGTTAATTCAGGAACTAGTCCAGCCACCATCAAATCTACCAGGCAGCAGCAGAAACTTCCCTGAGCACCCAGTAGCATCACTCAGTAGCTTTGCTGAACTGATGTAGGCACCTATGTCCTGGGTAAGATCATTTGGTATTTAGTAGGACCCTGAAGGAGTGATATCTTTGTTCACAATGTGTACAATCTTTCTTGCTTCAGTGGTAGAGAACAGCAGTACAAATAAATTAATGAGTACAAGTATCAGTCAGGAGGTGGGATACGTGGGTTCTAAAAGCTCCTATTTTTGTGAGAATTCATTTAGATTATACCTGCTCACATTAAGAGAGCATCCTATTTTTCAGGTTATTCCTTCAGTTGAAGCTGAATTTGTAGAACATGCTTGTTAATCCAGGAAGATTAAGAGGATCCTGGCCGTATTTTGAATATTGCCTGGGAGATAGAAAGCTACTTTTACACTGGACTCTTACTGGATTAAAAATGGAAGTAACCCAAAAATCAAGGACTAGAGACTCCTCATCTCACTTTACAGCTGGGTGCAGGAACCGCAATACAAGTGTTAAGTGCACTTTCTCCTTAAGAAATGAGACAGATGTACCACTTTTGGTGGTTTATACGTGCTATGGCTCAGCATAATACCTCTAAGGAATCCAGATGGGAGCCCAATTTTACTTTGCCTCCCTCTGAATCCCTTCCTGGGGCTGAGCACCTCTTAGCGCTGACTATCACAACGCTTAACATTTTGTTTAATGCTGCCAAGGCTCCCCAAGGGGATGCTCTGTCTGGCATGGCTAGGTGGCCTGATGTCTGGCCAAGTTTCACAGAAAGATAAAGAAAGGCAAGTCTGCACATACAGTTTAGCACTACAATGCCTCACATCCACATGGAAAACTTTCATGAGTGTGTTTAGCTCAAAGTCATCTGCTCAGCATGCCAGTCCTGAAATTTGTGCTTCTTAGCTCCACAAACACACATTTGTGGTCTGTGGCTCTGGCTGAGGTAGTTGAGGGCAGATCACACTAGGTCAAAGCCTCACAGATAGCAGGTAACAGCTCTTATTCAGTAATTGCTGTTCATTCCCTAATAGACAAAGACTGAATCTTTTAAATACTCACCCTTGACTGAGACTCAGAACAAGTCAGACAGATGAGTATAAACCACCTGTGGTGGTGACACCTTAAACTCATCCATCTGACTTTGTATTTCAGCTTCTTTGATGCAGCACACGCAGCAGATAGCTTAAGCAACTCTCTATTGTCCATCAGGTCTGATCTGAGACCTGTTGAATGGTTTTGTGAACATTTAAACCTTTGATAAGGGGCTAAACTCATCTATCTGACCTTCAGCTGAAAGAAATCAGAAATTCTCAACTGCATAAAGGATGATGAGACAGGCTCACGCACACAAAGATGTATTTGTAGGGTCTATAACTGATGATATACATCAACTGTAACTGTAAATGTTACATTTGGGCAAAAGAAAACAAAAACAAAAACAAAAAATCAAGGGGAGGTAGAGGGAAAGAGAGGGGGGAAAAAACAAACAGGGAAGCACTAAAAAAAAGAGAGGGGGGAAAAAACAAACAGGGAAGCTCTCCCAAGTGGTCAGCCAGGATGAGAGGTCTGGAGAATCATCTGGAGAAGATGTTCCAGATGATTATTCTCTTTCGGGCACCCTCTCCAGGGCAGCATTCCCTGCAAATACCTGTTTCAGTGTAACTGCATAGTTTCATAAGGACCTGCTCAATCTTGCCCTTGGTTACTCTCACTCATTACTCTAACAGTGCTGACTGATTGGCACATGTCTGATCAGGAGTTGATTTTGCTGCTCTAGTTGGCTGTTGAGCCTTGTGTGTGTGCATTAGTGGAAAATGACTGTTATCTACTATGTGCTATTTCTTCCCTAATATATGGCTTTAAAGTAAAAGCTATGAAGTGGGGAATGAAAAGTGGAGAGAGGAAGGAAGGACAACTCAGGTGGCGATGACCATGACTTCCTACAGAACTCAGCAGAACAGACATAACAGCAATTTCCAAGTCCCCCAGTGCAAGGCAATGAGGACAAACGCACTCTGAAACACCAGGATAGGGAGTACTGCCCCAGTCACAGCTATGAGAGTGCAGGTGGGTGGTTAAAAGTGGAAGACAGGCTGCAGAGCTACAAGAGAAGGGCTACCTGGCTACAAATGGCATTGCATAGGTTAGGGCACCAGCAACACCATCGCACTAGGGATTTTGCTGCCCTCCAGCCCCCAGCTGCTGGCTGCCGATACCCCACCAAGTGTGTGGGTGCTGTACGCACATGCAAGCAAACCAGGAAAAACAGGAATGCTACGAACAGCCTCAGTTCCCTAAGTGTATAAATATAACACACCTATGGACACTAAATTTAACTTAAATAACAAATTAAACTCCAGATACTCAAAATTGCTCTCCTCTCCCCCAAAATAGGAGGCAATGAGGAGACTTTGCTACCTCTGAGCACCTTTGTTTTAATCTCAGGAGACTGATCCATTTACCAGATGACATGTAGTGCCACTTGTAATGTGATAGGACATCCCAGTAGGCTCGTAGCAGCTAATTTAGAAAGGCCTGGGTTTCCCAGAGAGCCCATATCATACAGCTAGTCCTTCATGAATGTCTCAAATATCCCAGAGCATGCTGCATGGCACTAGGGAAGTCTTGCCAGACAATATTATAAACACTTTCCATAGCTATGTTCTTCAAGATTGGGCTCTTTGATACAGGTTCTAGCCTGAGAACAAGATAAGATGAGAGATAATGAGGGAAACAGTAAAGCCTGGAAGAGGGTGGATTTTAAACCTACTTAAGAAGACTTTGGCTAGCTTTGGCAGAGCCCCACTGAAGCAGCTGGGTTTGCACATTCCCAACTCAACAGTCATAAATATAGACAGTAACAT